ACAGAGAGAGACAGAGAGAGACAGAGAGAGAGAGACAGAGAGAGAGAGACAGAGAGAGAGACAGAGAGAGACAGAGAGAGACAGAGAGAGAGAGACAGAGACAGAGAGAGAGAGAGAGACAGAGAGAGAGACAGAGAGACAGAGAGATACAGAGAGAGACAGAGAGAGAGAGAGAGAGACAGAGAGAGAGACAGAGAGACAGAGAGAGACAGAGAGACAGATTACTAAAATGTAAAACATTTAATGAAATAAGGAACATTTATTTCGACAAATTCAACAGATTTCAAAGAGTTTAATGAGCTTTAAAGTGAAAAATACTCAGAGGGGGAGAGTGAAGGATCTACACACACACACACGCACACACGCAACGTTTCCTCCCTCTCACCGGGAGGTCATAATTACCCAGCATGCATCTGGGTGCGTGTGTTTATTAAAAACATAGCGAGGTCACGTGATCACACACAGCTGGTGGTGAAGTCACAGCTGTGGAATCCTTCCTGGTCACTGTTGCTATGCACCCTCATGTGTGTGTGTGTGTGTGTGTGTGTGTGTGTGTGTGTGTGTGTGTGTGTGTGTGTTTTTGCATACCAGTCATGCCTCGCCGTGTGTTTGTCGTTGCAGCAACAAGAAGCAACAAGACGGAGACGACACACACACACACTCACACACACACACACACACTTCTCATCTCTCTTGTTAATAAGGGTCTGCCAATATTAACATCTCTCTCTCTCATTTCTAACCGCCATTTGTGTTATTTTACCCAGAATGCCGATGGGGTGTCTCAACTCTTCATACTTTCACTTCCTGTTGTAAGTGAATAAGTGTGAACTCTGTCACTTCTCACCATCAACGGGCGCCATCTCACTGTGTTTTAGTTGCATAGTGCAAGTGAACGCATCACCAGAGGAGGATTTCAGAGCCTGGAGGTCTAAACGGGACCGTCTCACTACGTCTGTCTTCAGTTTGATGCAACAAGTCCTGACGAGTTCAGGGAATCACAGGAAGTCACAAAGTGGAGAAGAGAAAGTGAGTTTGACTCCTCCTACACCTGTCTCCTCCATGTCTCCACCTCCATGTCTCCTCGTCAGTATCTCCACCTCCGTGTCTCCGCCTCAGTGTCTCCACCTCCGTGTCTCCAGCTCCGTGTCTCCACCTCACCGTCTCTCAATCACCATCTCCACCTCAGTGTCTCCACCTCAGTGTCTCCACCTCCGTGTCTCTCAATCACCATCTCCACCTCAGTGTCTCTACCTCAGTGTCTCCACCTCAGTGTCTCCACCTCAGTGTCTCCACCTCCGTGTCTCCATCTCCGTGTCTCCACCTCACCGTCTCTCAATCACCATCTCCACCTCAGTGTCTCTACCTCAGTGTCTCCACCGCCGTGTCTCTACCTTGTGGCGACTGTGGCTAAGTGGAGAGCAGGGCCATCCTTCAATCAGAGGGTCGGTGGTTCGATCCCCGGCTCCGGCTCTGCTAGTCGCATGTCGATGTGTCCTTGAGCAAGACACTTAACCCCACAAATTGCTCCCGTAGTTGTGCCTACGGTGTATGTGATAGAATCTGAATTGTAAGTCGCTTTGGATAAAGCGACTAAATGACTGTAATGTAATGTCTACCTCAGTGTCTCTACCTCAGTGTGAGTCTAACAGAGTACCTGATCAGGTATATTAATAATATAGTGCAGAGATTGATAATTTAAACTAAATATTGTTCCTGTTATAACATACTACATCACCTAAATCTCAACCACATGGTTATGAGGCTGATATCAATGAGGTAACTTAATATTAATACGTATGAGTTATAATGAGATTATATGCTCAACATCCCAACGTTAAGGTTGTAAAATATCAATTAATCTGAGAGGATGAAAAATATGACTTCAAATTCATTATTTTATCCGACAAACAGGCAAAAACTACAAAAATATTCCGTTTACAACAAAGAAAATCTGCAAATTCTCACGTGTAAGGAGCTGAAACCAGAGAACGTTTTTGGGCTTTTTCTCTTCAGAAGCATCAGAATATTTCTGTCACCAATTAATTTTAGGCATAGCTTCAATTAAGAGGTAGGAATCTGCTCTTCCAGATGATTATTGGTGCATTCAGAGGATATTTACACAATCAAACAGGTACTCAGTGGTTTCTAGCGATCACAATATTAATATCATTATGAAATATCACCTCGCTCTGATATATACGTGTGTTGCTATGTGCACCAAGTGTGTAGTTCTGCTTTTTCCAACAGGCAGCGAATGCAGCGTGATGTTAATTTACTAAAGTAAAGTTGGTGGAGGAGAAAGATGGACACACACACACACACACACACACACACACACGCACACACACACACACAGAGATCCCTGAGTCAACCACAACTAGGTGGGGCCTGTCAATACTCAATGCATATGTATGTGTGTGTGTGTGTGTGTGTGTGTGTGTGTGTGTGTGTGTGTGTGTGTGTGTGTGTTACTGACAGAATAAAACCAAGCCTTGTCTATACACTACAGTCAGACAGACAGGTCGACAGACAGGCAGAGCGACAGACAGGTTCCTCCAAAACTCCTAAACTCCGCAGTCTGCAATAACTTTACTTCCTCTCTTTCTTTTCATTTATTTATTTTTCCTCCAGCAGAGCAGCGGGAGTTCCGCAGCTCAGAGGCCGCCTCAGAATACTCCCTACCCGGCCAGATCTGGCGGCAGGCCCCGCTGGAGGAAAGCCGGAGAACTGGAACGCAGAGATCTTTAAAAAGGCGTGAAGACGGACGGACACACCGCCGCCATGTTTGTTCCTTCGGCTGTCTCTGTCTGTCTGCGTGTAATAGCAACAGTATTACGGAGTAACGGAGCTCCTGTCTGTCTGTCTGTCCCTCCGTCCGCCTGTCTGTCTGTCCGCCGGTCGCTTCCGCAAACCCTGCCCAGCCCAGCCCAGCTCGGCTCGGCACGGCACCAGCCTGTCTCACCCCCTTACCCTGTGTCACGATCCGTCCCGGGTTAAGCTACATCTACATGATGGAGGGAAGAAAAAAAGAAAAGGGAGGAAAAGAAGGAAAAGAGAGAAATCAAGCGGTACTCACAGTCATCCACACGTCCACTCCAATGCTCCCTCTCTCTCGCTCTCCCTCTCTCACACACTGTATCTCTCTCTCTTTCTCACACACTCTGTCTGTCTCTCTGTCCCTGTCTCTCTCACTCACACACACTCTGTTTCCCTCTCTCTCTCTCGCTCTCTGTCTATGTCGCTCTACCAGAGCCGCTCCCTCCTGTCGCCGCTGCTGACGTCAAGTTCAACGTGGTGAACGGCGGTGCTTCCTGTGAATTTTTTCAGAATAAAGGGGGGGATGTTGGCTTTAAACTGGTTGTAAATTGCAATAATTTACACTGATGAAGAGTGGTGTGCGTGGTTGAAAGCTCTAAAAAACAGAAGTAATGAGTGTGAGTGAATTTTCACGTTAAAATGTATTATTTCTTCACAATTTTGGACAAATCAGATACATTTTTAGTTCTTATTTTCAAAATAAAGGCTTTGCATTGATACATTTACTGTTGAATTGTCTTGAGAGTAGAAAGTTAGATAAGTTTACTACTAGTATAATATACTTGAGGTGATGAAAGTTATTAATTCATGCTAAGTTAATATGCAATTAACAGCAGACACCCACGCCTCAGTTTTTCAGAATAAAGGCACCTTGGAAATGTATTCTGATAATTTGTGAGTACAAAGCAAAAAAGAAAATAAATTATTTGTAAAATTATAAATTATTTTTTTAAAAGACTTCCAAGTTGCACCAATTCCAAGAAATGTAAAGTCCCGGAGTCAGACACTTAACAAAGACTAGATATCGCTTATGACAATTAGTCATTAATGTTATGCTTTTATTTTGAAGACAGTCTACACTTACATCCGGCTTTGCTCTAACTTCGTCACTTTTTGGCTCGATCTTATTTTCTTGTGACGTCTCAGCTTGACCCTCAGCTGCTTCCCGCTTCCTGCAGAGTAGAAATACTAGAAGTACTTTGTTTTTTATTGTGGTTTCTATTTTTACTGAAATAAAATGACAAAAACTCAGAAAAAATGTACAACTGACAATCTTCAACATGAAAACAAATACTATTTTGGCTATTGTACTAAAGTACAAATTAAACTTGTACTTTACTTGAGTATTTCCATGTTATGGTACTTTTTACTTCTCTTCCACTACACCTCAGAGGAACATATTTTACTTTTTACTGTACTACATCTCAGAGATACATATTGTACTTTTTACTCCTCTGCATTACTTATAGGAACATTTTACTGATCAATCAATACTTTAACTGTATTTAGTTGATAATACTTGAATACTTAAGTAAGGTTTTGAATGCAGGGCTTTTACTTACTACAGTGTAGTATTTTCCCAGTGTGGTATAAGTACTTTTACTGCAGTAAAGAGTCTGAATACTTCTTTAAACAAACTAATTAGTTTGACCTGTTCGACCAAATATAAACGTCTCAAACTTGTCAAAATGATCATGTGACCCTCGAAATGTGTCAATGAGTCGCTTCCTCTCCTATCTGCTCACACTGGAGGTCGAAGGTCAAAGCAATTCATGAGGTCACTAAAGAAAACCCAAACATTAAATACAAAGTGTGTGTGAGTGTGTGTGTGTGTGTGTGTGTGTGTTACTGCAGAGTCAGCGAGCAACTGCGTGTCGGTGCATGTTGACGGGAACACGCCTCGAGACACACACACACACACACACACACACACAGTGTTCACTACAGTGCTGTGAAGCCACACCTAAACGGGAAGTAGTCACCAAGAATAGCGTCGCCCCCCCCACCCAACCAGCTTCCCTTTCTCTGACACACTTCCTCTGTGTGTGTTTCTTAAGTAAGAGTTCACATTACTACAAGTGAAAGTCCTCCAATCAAAGCCTGACTGAAGTAAAAGTATTATCGGCAGAATGAACTCAAAGTAACACTTTATCCTTCAGTTTATCACAAACATTCAACATCAACACATA